AAAAAAAAAAAAAAAAGGTTCAGACCATATTAGAGATAACATACAAACACTATACAAATGAAACAAATATTTGCATTTTGAGACCATCAATTCCTTGTGACACAAAATATCTCAGTCCTCCTCTACTTTATACAAACCATTTGGCATTACATGCAGGACAGAGTTTTAAGGGATAAAAATAAAAAGAAGGTCCAGGAACTTTTCCTTCTTTTTTCACCAAACATGAGGCCAAGGGACCTGAAGGGACCCAACTTACAACAAAAGCCAGGAAGCCATGTCTTAAAGAACTGCAGATGCAACTGGCTACATAAAAACATACTTTTAGAGGAGTACTAATTTTAACTTATCTGTGTAATAATTATTGTAGGCTAAGTTTCTATTTTTTCTATGTGCATTTTCATGGAAACAAAGTTATTGAGAAATTATAGCTTAGAAAAGAGAAAAAAGACACGAGAACTTAGACCTCCATACACTACTGAGTCTCAGTAGTGTTAGTACTGGAGCCTAACAACTTTGATCCTTCTCTCTGTCCCTCACACACAGAGTATACAGAGAGGTTATACAATGCCAAAACACCTCTTTTTACCTATTATACTTATTTATTTTAATTATTATCATTTTTGTGGTTACTATTGGTAATATTTATTTGGTTATAAATAAGTAAATATTCATAAAGATTATTCTCACTAACCTTACAAATAAAGACTCCCACTTTGCAAAAATATTAACTGAAATCCAAAATGTGACTATAAATTTGCCATGGGTTGGGTGCGGTGGCTCATGCCTATAATCCTAGGAGGTGGGTGGATTGCCTGAGCTCAGGTGTTTGAGACTAGCCTAACCAAGAGTGAGACCCCATCTCTACTAAGAATAGTAACACTACCCAGGTACTGTGGTGGGTGCCTGTAGTCCCAGCTACTCAAGAGGCTGAGGCAAGAGGATCTCTTGAACTCAGGAGTTTGAAGTTGCTATGAGCTATGATGCCATGGCACTCTACCCAGGGTGATAGAGTGAGACTCTGTCTCAAAAATAATGATAATAGGGCTTGGCTCAAGTGGCTAAGGTGTCAGCCACGTACACCTGAGCTGGCGGGTTTGAATCCAGCCCAGGCCAGCCAAACAACAATGATGGCTGCAACGAAAAAAAATAATGTTTT